AAAATTTACGTAGAAGAGAATATAGAGATAATTTATACATATAAGCCAGGTGGACATCAAAAATTCAACACTACATGGTGACTGTCAGATTCATGTTTCAATGCAATCTTCACCGTCTCTACATACAGCAGCAGCAGCAGCCTTTAGACAAAACCTATGCTGACTTACAACAGCTCAAAGTCATGTAGACCTTTGCCTAGAGGAGAAATTAGCAATAATCATCTTACTAGAACGAAATAAATACCTAAATGGAATACTGCAGGTTATTCCTAAATTACAGAAAAAAACAAATTCCTACTACGCTACTTACAATCGTACCATGACAAAAAAAAAAAAACTATATAAAATTCCATAACCTAAATCTAAGAAATTTTATTCCAAATATCAAAACACAGAAACAAAGAAAATTACACGACAGAAAAATATACAAAAATAATAAAATAAATTAAACAAATAATTAATCTAGAGGTCAAGACCCTAAATAATTATAAGCGTTAAAAAAAAGAACTAAAATGGCGTGATTTCCTGCAATTCCTTACTACTCTATATATCGATCCCTCTAAGGGGACAGTGACACTTGGTCTGAAGATCACATTAAATCGTGAATATGTGGTGAAAGATGTTTAATTTAATGCGATCATCGAGCATTTTTTTTATCTTTCTTTACAATGAGTTGTATAGTATTTTGTTATTATCTATTAATGTTTGTCTCATGTTAAATGTTGCATGTTGCCAATATGGCTATGACTTGTACGAAAGCGTTTTCCATTTGTCTTTTTGTAATTTAGACAGTATTATTCTAAATTTTGATCTTAATGCATAATTTATTCCAAAATTACAAAAATAAAGTAAAATATTAAACAGGCAGATTTGCCGGTTGAAATCATTAATTATTACTGTAAACCTCTTCATATTCGTGATCACACACGCAGCGCTTCAGAAAGAAAATCGTGGTGGTGTAAATTAGACATTTCGCACATTAAATGTCTTGATTTATCACGCGTGTTTCCTTTCATTCCGATAAGATTTCAGAACAGCGAGATTGATGATCTTGTAAAATTGGTACGAATAAATTGGAGATTAAGATTTTTAGGCAAACGGAAATTGCATAGCCTATTTATTGGTGTCGTTCCGCATTTCTTTGCCGATAATGTCACCGAACATGAACTTTAATCAATTCATGATACACAGGTGTTTCATAACAAGACATTTTAGAATTCTTGATAATTGTGGCTGAAGTAGGAGCAGGTGTGATTTAGAAGGAAAGGTCAAGATTTATTTTAAGAGTTTATACTTTATTAGGGTCACAGACGTCGTGGGTAGAGCAGTAGAAAATGAACCTTTCCGCCAATAACCATATCTTTGTCTTGTTACAAATAGCAGCTGGGCGGCAGTCTGGTAGAATGGCTCCTGGCATACAAAACAGAATTCCTCTTAGTGAACGTTTACGGACGGAAAATAATAGTTTTTATAAATGAATTTCATCTGTGTCGATAGTATGCGTTTGACAAAATCAGATTTCAAGCTAACCTCCACAACTGTCAACCCAAGAAAAGAAGTAAGCTTCGACAATTCATAGCTAATCGTTAGTTGTTTGGGCGATATTTTTTAACGATATATCGACATCTATATGTAATTTAATGGAATCTATATATTTTGAAGACAATTGTATAGCCTCAATGAAATATATTTTGAACGTAATTTCATGCCTTCAACTATAGATAAAATATATTGTTGATCATTTTGCTATAAAATGCATTGCTGGTACTTCTACTATAAAATGTATTTTGATACTTTCATATCGTTTTTTTTTGGGGGGGGGTACTATTTGTCCATAGCTGGGACCCCCATAACAGGTGCGACTACCCAGAGTTAGGGTGGACAGTGGAACAACATCAAGTAAGAGGTGGTGACACGCTCTTCAAAATATCTAATCTTCCGATAAGAGGCCTTGCTGTCGGATGTAATTTATCGTCATACCGAGGATAACATGGCTTATAATAGTAACTGTTTCAGAAAATAACATTTTCTAGCTGAAAACTTTATCTATCCAATAGCTTTATTGTGCTTCTTTCAGTTAATTCATATTCCGTGGAAATAAATGAGTGTTGTTGCTTTCAGAGCATCCGTTGTGTTTATGCCCACACATACATGTAAAAGAGAGGGAGGGAGGGAGGGAGGGAGGAGAGAGAAAAAATTGCTTTTTAAGAAATTCTTTTACCACGTTACTCCTATATAAATAGCAGTAACGTAATAAAACAATTTTTACACTTACATATTTTTTACATTTACACTAAGATTATTATTTTTTACGTGCCATGTCCCTTCAGGACGTAGGCGATTATGACTCTCCACAATTTTCTGTCCTTCGCAGCTCTTAATAAATCATGTATTTTTGTTATCTCTCCTAAAATTTGTTCCGCTACCCATTTACTCAAACTTACTAAGTAGGTTATGCGTTGCTTTCCTCTGTTCCTTTTCCCTTCTATCTGCCCTGTGAGTATCATATTTTGTAAGCCCTCTTTCCTCATTATGTGCCGTAGAAATATCATCTGTCTCCTGATGTGAATATGTTTTCTTTTTTTTTCTCATTTTCTCTAAAACTTTGCCGTTGCTTACATATTCGGTGCATTGTATCCTCAGCATCCTTCTTTTGAACCACATTTCTAGAAGACAACGATTGATATGGTATTTAAATTTTTGAAAATCAAAATTAACTGGAAAGCATAGAGCAGGAAGAGAATTCGATTGGCCAGAAATGCGAGAAAAGAAACTATAAGCAATGAAATTTCGGTTATATATGCCGCGCCAGAAAATTTCAGTTATATATGCCGCGCTAGGAAATTTTCTTGTCGGAGTTGATCCTTCAAATTTACAGATCAACCATTCGCCCTTGCATAGAGTATTGCTTGTGAGAAATTCTGCAATTAAAGCTAAGCTCCTATTGGCTAATTTATGCCACACCGTATTTTTGTACCGACCAAGCTCTTTGGTTGAATTTTTCCTTTGCCTTTCGCGGGCATTTTCAACTGCACGTGCCTTTTTTTTCAGTTGCTGCAAAATCTTCGAGATGAGAGGATTCACATTTCTCTCACATTGCAGGGCCTTTAGCGCCCAAAATTAAGCCTAAATGTCAAGGCAATTATTCTTCTTGTCTCATATTCTAGAGACTTTTTAAGGCTGAGCAATTCAGTCGATTTATTGACTGTCGTCACATTATGTACTTTTGCATGAAGAACCTTTCTGCATGCTCTCGACAAATAGCCGAGTTTTTATTTCAGCAACCAAATTGGTAATGGTCCTGTTCGACGACCGTCAAGTTCCTGCTTCTTCGAATCTGCATAGAGACCAGTTGAGTCCTACAGAGAAGAAAAATACTACCACTTCTTTGAAGTAACAACCCTACCCTATTCACAGGGGCGCAAAAGGGCATAATCTTTTTTGCAAAGACGAAATAAAATTTGTATTGAAATTAAGGTAGGCTTTGTTTGAATTGTATGTCTTTTCTTGTCTCTGTCGGGTTTAAACCGTGTGAGAAGAAATTCTCACATGCTGCCATATATGGTCTGGAGCCCCTTCTGCTTGTCTCAAGGTCCTTGATAAAATCCAGAGACGGATATGCAATATAATTTGCCCTGATCTGGCATCTCGTCTGCAGTCGCTCTCTCACGTAAATGCCGTCACCTCCCTCTATCTTTTTTACAAATACTTTCAATGTAACTGCTCCGATGAGCTGCTTTCGCTGGTTCCCAGACTTCATGAATTCAAGCGTTCAACTTGGCTGGCATCTCGCTCTCACCCTTTCACTGTCGAAACTGTTAAATATAGCCGTCTCTTCTACTCCAATAGCTTCATGTCTCGCACTTCTCGCCTGTTTCCCTGATAGCTATAGTCTCCCACTATTCAAATGTAACGTCAATCGACGTCTCCAGATGCCTTGATCTATCCCCTATCCTTCTCTTCATCCTTTCCTCTATCACCACTATTTACTCTCGCTCCAACTCTCTGTAACCCCTTGCGTGCTAGTGGCTTCCCACCTTGCTTGGGGTGAAACGCTTAAAAAAAAATTAACTGTGAATGGAAGAGACCTTGCCTCCAATATAGTCTGTCATGCGTGATACACGCGTAGGTGATCATATACCTTTTGATACATGACTGAGGAGGCAGATTTTTCCCGCTGTCGGTTGCCATTTTTTTCTGCGGTAGACCAGTTGCCATCCAAGGTTATAGAACCCGGTCCATCATAGCTGAGGCGGGGGAGAAGAAGAGGATTCATACCTTTCCAAAGCACGTAAGTGAATTTAATGGATTCGACTGGAATTCGAATTTGGATGTCCGATTTCTCAATCTGAGCCGTCATCCATTACTCCACCGTGACTCCTATAGTACTGCGCTTAAATTCATAAAGTCTACGTAACATTTCGAAGAGTTAATCCGCCATGAAAGGCAGAGGGGAACTACATTACGGCGGTGGAAAGATGACAGAAGACGAGATGCCAGGTCAGGACCAATAATATTGCTGATTTGTCTTTCGATTTTATCAAAACTTTCTCCTGTTCTCTTCTTTGTGGGCATATAATTTACAAAGTTTATTTTAAAAATACTTGAGCAATATAACTAGAAGAAATAGAATGCTTTGAAATCTGATAACAACTTATTTTGTTTATTAAATAAACTATAAAGAAATTGTTGACTTCAGTCTCATCTTCAATTTTCTTATCAGTATAATTCTTCCTGACACAATTTCAATTAAGATAAAACGATAAAACTTTAAAGATGCGTAAATAGTTCATAGAGATAACTTTCCAGTTAAATATGTTCCCAAATTTATAGCATACTAAATATCGAAATATTAATAGAAATGGAACTATTATTTGCGAAATGTTTGCGATTTTATTCTTACGTCAATTTTTTTTCAAGAAAAAAAGTCTTCCCATTGCATAGTTACTATAAGATCGGTGATATTTTTTTCTGTTGTGACAAATTGGAATTAGAAAAAG